AAATGAATGAGAGCCATATAATTCAAGTTTGCACATGGCTTTTTCAAAAATATCTGCTTTGGCCGCACATATTGCTCTCCTTTGAATACTCAGGGCTTCTTCTAAGATCAGAGAGAATCACTTGAATATGCTTCAGACTGTCCTATTGCTGTCATATAGGTCCTGCTTTTAGAAAGTCACAAGGACGATGCTCACCAAAATTAAATTATTTGTTAGGTCTGGGTGCTAATTACATCTTAGACACAGCTAAAAATACACCAAACCTTTCAAAAGAAAAAAAAATCTTTTGCTTTAAAAAAAGTCTATAAAAATTCTCATTCTTCATTGACACACTCTTCTTTTCAAATGAAAGACTCCTTTTTACTTTCTCCCCGGTGTTTCCCTCCCTTTGCGCTCCTTTCCCCTGGCAAAATGCAGAAAAAGAGAAAATAGATAAGGATGAAAAAAGATCTTCATCATAGCAACCAGAAAATTTCAAGTAAAACAAACTATTCCATCGATTTTTTTACTTAGAAAAGTAAATTTTCTTGGCAGAATTGTTTGAAATCAGTATTTACCAGCTATTTTGATTTTCAAACACTATACGGGGTGCTTGATGCATGTGTACTTGTAGGTGTAGACACGTGAGTCAGACTGAATGGAGATGTTAACCACATTTTATCTTTACCAATGTGGCAGCTGAGGTTATACTCAAATGAGTGAGCTCACCAAGTATTGAAATGCAGTATTTTTTGCATTGCTGTTGTGTCCAGATATCCTCATTGTCTATCAAGGCCCTTATTGCGCTGTACATAGAGTGGGTGGCCATATGTTTGCAGAGTAACTGCATGCTGTGTTTCTTTTGTGGCACACGATGAGCATGGAGGTAGAGAACCAGCACTAGGCCTTGTCTGTGCTTTTTGTGCCCATGGTCACAGTGATCTACCTTTGGGCAGCATGGTTTCTCCATGACTTGTGAAGGAACTTAGAAGAGTTTAATTCACATGAGCATTCTTTCTTACTTTCCTGTCTTAATTCTGTACACGGAGGCTCATCTCTACATATCTTAAGTGTTTTTATAATCCTACTGAAATGTTACTTCCGTCTTAAATGTCATTCAGCATTCCCAGAAAAATCTTTCACAATATTTTCTCCCCAATCTCATTACTGTCACACACACTTGCTCTCTGCGTAAGCAATTTCTCCTTGCCGGAACAAAGAGCAAATTTCAGGGTTTTTTTTAAGCCCTAGCATCTAAGGCACGGTGCCTCCAAAAAAAAAACCAAAAAAGGCAAATATATGGGACATACTTGAAACACCTCGAGATGAAGTTGCATTATTCTGCTTTTTGCCAAATGGGGCAGAAGAAACCCTCATTTGATAAGTGATGTGTCCCGGCAGTTTTAAGGAGTTTGATTTCTTTCTCAGGAATGAGGTGTGGAAGAATCGTTTAAAATCTGACAGCATGTCAGATGTCACCTTCAACCTTAGCTGCTCTGAAGCTCCTGCCATTTCTATCATAGTGTATCTTGCCATATTAAAGCTAAAGATGCTGGGGTCTAGGAGAAGGAAATGTGTTCAGGGGTCCCATTAATCTTCCAGAAAAAACCTGGAAGGCAAACTCAAAAAGGAAGCATACAACATGCGTCAGAGCTTTTCTAAGAAATTTATAGAAATTCATCAAAGTGTGCTGGCTGTGTTGTTGACGAGCTTTCAGAACTTGGCGCTGGAGTGTGTCTGCTCTAGCTTTAAATCCGGTCAGAGCCAAGAGCTTTGTTTTCTCTCTGCTTCTTCTCATGAGTATTTCCTTCAGCACATGGCTCCTCTTCTGCAGACTCCACGCCTTGTCTGACAGAATAAGTTGTCTTCTGGAAAGATTTTTTCCTTAATTATTATTGTCGTTATTTTAATCATGCATAGCTGCCAACTCTAGGGACTGAAACCTTCCATTAATCTGAGTCATGATGAAGATCCTTCCTAAAGAGGCCATTATCTACTCTGCTTGTTTAATCCTTGCACACCAGGGAAGGAGACAGTGGGACTGGACATACTTTGACTGATGTCAGACAAAGCAGAGCAGAATTTGACTGTTCTGTAGAACACTTCACGTAGCAGAATGAGGAAGGCTTCTAGCACACATGAAAGGAAGAAAAAAGGCCAACCCCTTTTAAGCGCTTTAAAAAGGCGCTGCTATTGTAATCCCTTTTACATAGTCATAACAGCCAAGATTTTCAGAAGTTAGTAACAATTACGCAAGACGTTATCTGAGGACCCAGATATGAAGACCTTAGGTGAACCTGATTTATCTTGACTTGGTAGGGTTGAGAGTCAATGGGGAACTGTGCTTCTAAGTGCTGACAGCTGGGCTGAGCCTGTGTGTGTAAATCCTTCCTGTGCACGTTTGTGTACCCAAAGGACAACCTCTGCGCCATGGAGCTGCCCATTTGAGCTGGTGACTAAAACTGGGTGCTAGGAGAAACTATGCAGAAGCTGGACAATTTACATTTAGGCGTGATCAATGTCTCTGGTGAGTCAAGTGATGCTGGGCAAGGAGCTTGAGATCTGTGTCCCCCTTTCTCACCCACCCACTGAGGACAAGAGCACTCTGGAAGTGTTAATAATTGCATGTGCTGTAAAGTCTCTAAGAGCAAACACATACTCATACCAAACAGGGTGAGAGCTTGGCACTCCTCTTTAATTGCTGCTTTACTGAAATTAATCCAAAATATCCAGATCCACAAGCATTGCAATGACTGCCTTGGAGAGCAGGTGAGTGATAGCTCTGTTCTAGCAGTAGCAGTACTGCTTTGGTTAACTGTAGACCAGAGTTTGGATGTTAGTTATTGCCTCAAACAGGTGAACCTTCCTTCTGCCAGTTCAACAGTTCTCTCTCTTTCTTTCCCACCACCCAGGTGCTTCTGACTTGACTGCATTCAGTGACCCCCGGGTAGGAATCGACCGCTCCTTCTCTGCACTCCCCTCCATCTCTGACCCTCGGATGCACTACCCGGGAGCATTCACCTACACGCCGACACCTGTCAGTTCAGGGATAGGAATCGGTATGTCTGCCATGTCCACAGCCACGAGATACCACACTTACCTCCCACCTCCCTATCCCGGCTCGTCACAGGCCCAAGGAAGCCCGTTCCAGACCAGCTCGCCCTCCTACCACCTCTACTACGGAACCTCCGCCGGCTCCTATCAGTTCTCCATGATCTCGGGGGGAGACCGGTCCCCACCGCGCATCCACCCGCCCTGCACCAATGCCTCCACAGGTTCAACACTCCTCAACCCCAACCTCCCCAATCAAAGCGATGTGGTCGAGGCCGAAGGGAGCCACAGCAACTCCCCCACTAACATGGCGACCACAGCAAGGCTAGAGGAAGCGGTGTGGCGACCATACTGAATGAATTTTAAGTAGTTAGGGGCCAGGACTAACGTGATTTCCATTTCCCAGTGCCCGTAGGTATGGCATAAACACCTGTCTTGCTTATGGGCCCTGCTGTGTTCATACATCACTTTCAGAAGCAAATCCTCCAGAAGTCAGCGCTCCCAGGAGCATGTATTAGCCAGCCCCTGGCAAAGCGACGTTGCTCCAGCAAAGCATCCTTCATGGGGGGCTGAACTTCTGGAAAGGAAGACGCCTGAGTTGGTGGTCCAGAGGTAGCGAGGGTGGGTGGAAAGGTACCCAGTTTGTTTCCAGGCCTATGGCTTTCTAATGTGCCTGGGCTTGAAGGTCTCCACAGCCCTAAAGAGAGTTTCGGTTCACTTCTATTTTTAAGACTTAAAACCTAAAAAAATCTTAGCGAGTTTACTGCATCTTATGGACATATTAACTGTAAGGAAGTATAGGAAGATTCCCAGAGGGAAACTGTGAACGCTTCTGTTTTAGCAATGCTGTGAATGAGAGGTTTTATATGTTGGACTTCATTCTTTCTTTTTTTTTTTTAACTATGTTGTATATTCCAAAGAATATGGAATTTTTTATTGCTGGGGTTTTTTTTGTTTTATTTTGGGTTTGTTTTTTAGGATGCAGCTCATCCTGCTTTGCATCTAATTTGTTTTATTTCTCTTGGCACCTTATAAATTGCAAAAAAAAAAGAGATTGCTCTTTTTTTTGTTTTAATCATGCTTGCTTCTTTCTTGCTTTGTCAACTGAAAGAATCAGCCCCTTTTTCAATGAGTTAATTTAACTTTTTTCTGTTGGACTTTTTTTTAATACAACGGCTACAGCCTTGGGTCATTTTCAACTACTGTACTACTTTGATGAATTCGTTGATATTTATGCTTGATATTTAGACTTTTCTTATTTGTTGATACTATTATTATTTAAATATGCCTATATTAAAAAAGATCAGCAATTGCCTTTTTTGGTAGCAGCCAAAGTCAAATTTATCACATTGAAAAAGGCTGGAATAACAATGGGTAAAGTGACCTCCTAATTACCTAGAAATATTGTTTACAATTATCTTACTCTCATTTTACTCAGCTAACTGGGTTCAGATCCTCAAAGGCATTTAGGTGCCCAGCTCCCACTGAAATGATTTAGGCATCAAAATCCCTGTGAATTTCTGTGTCTTCCTTCCCAGTGGATTCACCTCTCCCTAATCTTTCCTTGGTTTTCCTTTGTCACCAGTGTCACTCAGGATCAGTAATCAGCATGTACAATGTACATATTTCATAAGGCAGATTCAGTTTTCCCATGTGGCCCCATTCTGCTCCCAAGCTTGCCTAGGCTTCCTAACAGCACCAGTGGAGGCCTCCGAGTCTTTCAAAAGCCAAAGCCAACATGCAGTTAGCATGGCAAGAGTGAAGTCCTGGCTCCAGTGGAACCAATGTGAGATTTGCTTCCGGCTCAGTGGAGCCAAGATTTCTGTGCAGTACAAAAGCCACGTTCCAGTGTGCTGGAAAATAGATCATGTCATGGATCACAAAATAACTCGAACTGAACGGGGACATCGAGATCATCTGGAAAGCAGACTAGCAAAGAAGGGGCTTTAATGGTTTCGCTGTCATCATCTTCTGAGGGATGAGGAAGGGTATTTAGAGCTGGTGCACACAATATTCTGTCCTGTAGCAAATACACAAGGCTTATACTAACAGCATGTTAATACAGAGTTGTCATCATTGCCCATTGTTACAGCACAAACATATCAGATGTCACTGTAAAGTTTATGGCACTATTTTATTTGAGGGTTTGGTCTGAATGCAGTTGTTGTACTACTCATTGATTACAAACTGCTGATGTTGACACATGTGCGTTCCAAATTAGCTGATTATTATTTAAAGTATCTCTTAAATGAGTGAAACAATTGCAGGTCAACTCGGAGAGTATTTAAAAGCAGGACTTCAGATCAGTGTTTGATGTTTAAAAAAAATTTAAAGGATTCAAATTAAAAAGATCCTTGGCTGCAGGCAGCAAAACAGCTGGACTTATTTAAAACCATTTGTTTTTCAAGTTTTCTTTTTTTATATATGATTTTGGTTCTTTGTTTAAGTCAGATGCAGTAGCACTTTGGTATTGAAAAGTTACAAATTGAAGAATTTACATTGTCAATAAGGTCATTTTTGTGCAGAAAATATGGAGTGTTTCAAGAGATCTCAGCAAAAGTTCAAAATGGTTCTGTTAAAATACATGTATGCCCTTGTGCTTTTCATTTAGCATAATACTCTTTATCATTTTCTAGAGTTTGCTCTGAACAAAAAAGGCAGAAAACATCAAAATTATATCAGGACAGTCAAAAATATATTTTGGAAGTGTGGAGACCTTGCTGAATACCAAAATACAGAGAGCCTACCTGTTGTGACATATACATAGTTGGAATCTCACCTCTTCAGTAGCCTTAAAAAAAAGCCCTTCACCACTAAACAGTAGCTCTGTTGCAGAATCTGTCTTACACATTCTCTGTCACTGTGCAGTTAAAATTATCATTTACCACAGCCCTCACATCTGCCTTGTGACTGGACCACCCAAGTGCATAGTACTGAGAGCGTGAACCCAGAAGTGAGGGAGAGGAGAGGACCTCAGAGGATGCCTCACCTCAGAGGGCAAGGCTGATGAATTTAGCCCAGTGGCAGAAGAGAGGTTGATGAGTACACTCCCAGGCCTTCTTGTCATCACAGCCAGCTTTTTGCTAAAGCCCTTTGCCCTTCTTAACCCTTAATTTGCACTACCCAGTTTTGAAAATAAAAGATCAGGGATTCACAAGGACGAGGAGTTGGTATCTCTAAGTCTGGATATTAGACCTAACATTGAACAGTTCTTATGTCCACACGTTTACTTTCTTTACACTTGTCCTAAAGGTGAGTTTAATTTTACTCTCCCTAGTGTGAACAAGGCGAGAAACTGCAGAATGAATCACCACACTTACCCGGTGTGGTTACATGTCTTTACTGACATGTAACAAAACTGGGATTTCCCAGTGTCTCACCTGTGATAATTGCCAGCAAATAAACTTTTGAGTCTCACCTCTCCTGTGTATGTCAAGCACAGCACAAAGCAGCACCCTCTTAACAGAGGAAAAACTAAGTTCATTGTCCCTTGCAATTAGTCTGTTTCAGTGCATTCACACAAGTGCTTATGAGAAACCACAGTTTACTCAAATATGTTTTTGTAGCCATCCCCTGTCCCGCTAAGGACAGCGAAGATCTTTGAGGCTGTAAAAATGCTCCCGTGTTGTTCCTCTTGTATCTTAAGAGCACTTGGCAGGCAGAAAGAGGACATTTGGATAAAACATTTCCCCTCTTCACACATGTGCAAATTATATTATATCTTGTATA